TTTTTTCTCCCCCATAGGAAACAATGGAGCTGTCAAAAGTTGGGTTCCATTGTTTCCTATGGGGGAGGAAACAAATTCACACAAAATTAACGAAAAGTCAGCAACCGTTTTAAATGCTTGGGTTCGTTAGAGCACCTTCTGAATCATGTGCAAACAAAGTTTGGCTTTGTTCTGAGTCTTCGTTAATTTTTTGTGAATTTTTTTCTCCCCCATAGGAAACAATGGAGCCCAACTTTTGACAGCTGTCAAAAGTTGATTTCAATGCTTTCCTATGGGGAGAAAAAAATTCAGCAAAAATTAACAAAAAGTCAGATCAAAGCCAAATTAAGTTTGCACACGTTTTAGAAGGTGCACTAATGATTCCAAGCATTTAAAACAATTTGAACATTTTAAGACACTTTTAAAATTGAAAAAACGGACATCGTTAAGCGAAACAGGGGACCTAAAAATGCATTCGCTATGTGAAGCATGGTCCCGAAATCGCTAAGCGAAAATCACCCATAGGAAACATGGTTAAATGATGCATAGAATTCTTTTAAAAAAACCCATTGTTAAGCGAAAACATTGCTAAATGAGGCAATCATTAAGCGCGGCACCACTGTATATATTCACATCTCAAGACTTAATTTCTAAGATAGTTAATACTGAAATTAATTCCATTAAAATAATAGATCATGCTTTAATGTCAATAGAAATTGAAATAAAAAAGATTATAAAGACTTTAAAAAGTGGAGAATGGATAATAATAATTTACAGTACCCAGAGGTAATAGAAAAGATAAAGAAGGAATGGTTAAAATTATGGACAATAAATGAAGCAGGAGGTACTAAATTAGGCCTGTTGTGGGATACAATGAAAGCAATTTGAAGAGGAATAACAATAAGGGAATCCTGTAAAAAAATTAAGGAGAGAAATGTGAAAAAATTGGAAGAAGATCTGAAAATTTAGAAAACAGATTTTTATTTTAAAGAAAGAGATAGAAGAATTTTGGTAGAAATTCAGGCTAAGAGAAAGGAACTAGGTAACTCAGAAATAGAGAAAGTCCAGAGAGATTTGGTGTATTTAAAGATTTTTTTAAAATTTAATAATAAAAATTCAAAATTATTCGCTAGAATGTGTAATAGTAGAAGAGTAAAAAACTCAGTAGGGATAATTAAAGATAGAACAGGTAAGAGTTGTAGTATAATGAAAGATAAATTGAAGATTTTTTCATGAATTTTTTTCAGAAATCATATAAAGGAAATAATGTAATGAAAGAGAATATAGAAAATTATATGAATGAGAATTTAAAAATTGAATTATTGGAAGATGATAAAAGAATATTAGATTACAGAACAAGAAATTGCCAAAGTTATTAATAACTTGAAAAATGGCTAAACACTAGGCCCTGATGGAATGGGTCCAGAATAATATAAGCATTTCAGCTCCATTTTGATACCCAAGTTAAAAATTTTCTATAATAAAATAATGAAAGGAGAGACAATGCCTGCTTCTTGGAAACATTCATTAACGATTCTTATTCCAAATCTGAACAAGGATCAAACAGATCCGGGATCTTATAGACCCATATCTCTAATAAAACAAGATGCCGAGATTTTTACTGCTATATTAGCAAATAGATTAAGGGAAGACAAATGGATAATTTAACTAGACGAGTTTTGAACATTATGAGATAGAAAAGGAAAAAATAAAAACTGTTTTATCATTGGACTGTTTTATCATTGGCCAACACTAAAATTTCTTATAAGGGGTTGGGGATTTGGCAAAAAAATTATAGTGGTTATAGATCAATTGTATTCAGATAATACTTCAGAAGTAATAGTTAATGATGGTTTAACGGAACAGATTTTTTCTAGGCTGAGGTACGAGACAAGGCTGTCCACTTTCACCAATATTGTTTTGTATGGTTATAGAATTGCTGGCTAATGCAATAAGAAATGATTAATTGATTAAAGGGTTAGGAAAAAATGATACAATTAAGAATAATTTATTTGTTGATTATTTATTATTGACTATTAAAACCCATTAGAGAGTATAGACAATATTAAAAAGCACTTAGAAAAATTTGGGGAAATAACAGGATTAATTATTAATTGGCAAAAAAGAAATAATGATGTTTAATCATAATATACAGGAACAAGAAATGTTTATGAATAAATATAGTTTTAAAATGTGTAATCATATAATATCTAGGTATAAAAATAGTTAAAATGACTCAAAAATTAAAGGAGAAAATTTTTAATAAACTGAAAAATGATATTAAAGATAAACTGCAAGAGTATTCTAAATTGAAATTATGGTTTGGGAGAATGATTAAAATGAAAATGCTACCAAAAATTACCTTTTCATTTCAGATGCTCCCAATAAAATTAGAAGAAGATTTCAAGTATTGGCAGGAATTAGTTAATGGATTTTTTAATCAAGGTAAAAAAACTGGAATAAATAAAATATACTATATTGGTATAAGGCCCCCCAAAAAGGAGTTTTAGGTATGTCTGATATAAAAAATTGTTATATAGCAAATCAATTAAGATTTATTGGAGAGATTATATACAATAAAGAAAAAATAATTTGGTGGGATATGGAATCTTCAGAAATAAACGGGAATATTGAAAAATACTTGTTTAATGTAGTAAAAAGAAATGCAATAAATCAGATGAACCCCCCCCCCTTTTAAAGAAATATGTTAAATATATGGAATAGATATGGAAAGAAGCTATGTCCCTCAACTTCACCATTAAAATTAGTGACTGAAATAGAAAGTTTTCCTATAAACCTAAACGGTTTAGTAGATTTATTTAAAGATGAAAGTATTGTAAGATTGAAGGACTGGATGAGTAAAATGAGATTGAAGGAGTTGATTATGGTTAAACTTCAAACTAATAAACTATCATGGTATAATTATATTCAGTTAGACACTTGGACAAATGAATGGCTGAGAATTACTGTAATGGTAAATGTAGAGAATGCACTAAGTACGAACCATTTCTATCATCACATGAAGATATGCAGAAAGATGCTTTGATGAAGGGAGTAGTAAGTAGAATAAATAGTATAATTTTGGAACGAGGAAAAAGAGGGAAACAGAAGGTTTGAAATTAATTTGGGAAAATGATTTAAAGACCGAAATTAAAATAGAGGATTGGATAAAAATGTGTAGGATGAGAATTTTAAGGTTAATGTCGATAAGAATTAAGGAAAAAAATAAAAATCTGTTTAAGGTGATATTTGACTCCTGTGAAATTGAATAAATTCAGATTACTCTAAAGCTTGTTGGAAATGTGATAAAGAAATTGGCACATATTATCACATGTGGTGGAATTGTAAATTGGTGAAGAAACTTTGGAAACTGATTTGGTAAAGATACTGAATTTAACTCTGAAATTGGTTTGTCAGTTTTTATAAGATAGATCTTGATTATTATTCAAAGCAATTGATTACTAACTTTGTGACAAGAGCTAGAATATTAATACTGTAGCTAGGTTTTGGAAAGATAAAAATGATATTAAATTAGAAGATTGGTATGGCAAAATATGGGGCATTGCATTAAATGATAAATTGACTATTGAACTCAAGATGAAATTTAAGTTCCAGTTTTTCATGCTATTTGGGGTATATTTCTTGAATTTGTATTATTGAAAGGAAAGGGGAAAGCCTCTAAACATCAATCTATACAATTTTGGAAAGGAAGTTTGTAATAAAAATATTGTTCAATGGGGTCCCATGGGTATGTATATATAAAAGAAGAAGAAAAGCAAATTCTCACCTTAACTGTTCAATGGGGTCCCATGGGTATGGGGTACATGGTAGAATTTAGTGTACAGTAAGCACTGTTACAGTGGTGCCTCGCTTAACGATTAAAGTGACACTAAGAAGGGGGTGCATAGCACCATGGGCACAGTGGGTTTCACAGGTGAAGGTATTTCAGATAACAGCTTTTAAAGAGAGATTTGGAAGTCTTGATATATGAAAAATAGAGACTGTTCAGGCACAAGGGGAAGCAAAGAATAAAGTATGGAAGAAGTAGCAGGCAGGAGAAGCATAAATTGACCAGTATATGTACTCTTGTCCTACAGCGTTTGGCCTTGGCTGATCTCCCTTCTAAACAGTTTCCAGCCTCATGAGGAAGACCTGTCCTGCCATAATAGTAAGGATACCCTTTTATTAAGTAGTCTGTGACAGTGTGTTTAAAAGAAGAGTGAGACTGAAAGGAGAACAAAGCACATTCCAGTACTTACCTGCCCTTGTTATTGTAAACTAAACTAAATGAAAGCTGTGGGCATCATTTTCTTTCATTTTTATGAGTTTTGAAAAATAGTTCCCTATTTCTGTTGATTTATATGCTATCATATAAACCATATATATACATTGTATGTATGAATGGAAACTTGCCCCTCTCTGAAATATTTAGTACAACTTCCAAAGTTGCTCACCATGTACCATGCTTAGGGAGGCAGATGGGGGAGGGTGCAACTTAAAGCTTCAGGAGGACCAAACATTCCCCCTCTATACTTTAGATTCTCTTCTTTTTTCCCCATGGCTTTCTTACATATGCTGCTGTTGAACTCAGTTGCTGGTCAAAAGCCGCATGACTTGCCTGAGACATTACAGTACAATGCATGATAGTGTTGCTGGCAATCATTCAATAAATGCTAGTGTGACACTTTTGAGTTAGGGTTTTGCTGCCCTCCACCATATCATATGTGTTGCTTTATCGAAACTGAACAATAATCATTGCAACCCTAATTATGAACAAGTATTGTATTTTGTGGTTCAGGATTGTTCACTCCATCTTGCATTAAATGCTTGCTATTAAACTCTTATTAAGGCCACATTGTAAACAGGCATTTAAAGACATACAGTTTTACTGTTTTCTGTTGATACCCTTTGAATTTATACTTGATTTTCTGATATAAATCAGGCCTTGAAAATGTGTAACTCGAATGAATTGGATATTCATTTAACAGTAGGCTAGACTACGTATGAATGCAGTCCTGCACAGTTATTCATCTTTTTTTGTCATTATTTATAGCCACTCCTCTTCCAGAGGAGTTTGAGCTACAGGGATTCTTAGCTCTGAGACCCTCCTTTAGGTAAGTGACTACTGGGGACATCAACTTACTGTTTATAACAGGTCCTATTCATCAATATTACTTGAAGAGTGGTAGTATCGAACATCAATTAAGTTCTGCTTTCTTGCTGAGGCACTAGACTTGTTCCAACTCTTTTAGTGATTGGACTGTTTCCCATTTTTTAAAAATAATTTCTTTTAGTAAGACATGAACTCAATTGACCTTCCTCAGATATGCATCCATTTAATATACTGTATTTTTCCAGTGTGTAAGTCTCGCACATGTATAAGACCCCCCTTTTCTAACCCGAATTTTTTTCTTCGCAAGAAAGTGGAGGGGGTGTGTAAGTCTTGCACGTTTTATAAGACCCCCCTTTTCTAACCCAAATTTTTTTCTTCACAAGGAAGTGGAGGGGGAAGGCAGGGATCAAAGAGCTTTGATTCCCTCTTTCTCCCTGCACTTTCTTATGAAGAAATTGCTTTCTCCCTCCCCCTTTTCTAACCCGAATTTTTTTCTTCGCAAGAAAGTGGAGGGGGAAGGCAGGGATCAAAGAGCTTTGATTCCCTCTTTCTCCCTGCACTTTCTTATGAAGAAATTGCTTTCTCCCCCCCACACACTTTCTTCACAAGAAGGTGGAGGGGGAAAGTAGGAATCAAAGTGTTTTGATGATTCATGCTTTCCCCCTCAGCTTTCTTCCAAAGAAAGTGGAGGGGGAAAGCACTTTCCTCTCAATAAAGTGGAGGGGGAAAGCAGCCCCCCCTTACTTCCGTGTATAAGATGACTCAATTTTTAATCTAAATATTTTAGACAAAAGTACCATCTTATACATGGAAAAATGCGGTACATAACTTATGATCTGTTAAAAGACATCTGGAGAGGTACTGTCATGAATTTGGAAAAGGAATATTTATGATAGAAGTGGGTTTTCTTGCTTTTACCTAATAAGAGTCTTTGCTTTGACAAAGCAGCTATCCAGATTATTGTTGTTGGTGTTGTGCTATCAGATCCCTCCTGATTTATAGCATCCTTTCAAACTAACAACTTCTAAAAGGTCATGTTACGGACATCCCTGCCAAGTCCATGAGTACTGCAAACTCCATCTCAGATTATCTTTCATAAAGACATGTCTTCATTGGTTTAACTTGAAGAAAACTACAGCAGCTGAAGAAATCGAATGGTGGTTGTGGGAGCAAATCCAGCTGTTCTCTTTGTGAATTTAAGGGCAACAAGGGATTATGGAGGAATATTGGTGGTAACATAGGACCTGCTAGTAGACTGCATTGGAAAGCAATAGTGAGAACTGGTAGAACTAGTTTTACTGCCTTATGTTGCAGCAGTAGAACACAACTGTGTCTTCAGGAATTAGTGGTGGCCAGGAAACAACATTTCCAAATTAGAGGAGAGTATCAAACTATTGCATTAAATAAAATATTTTTTGTTCAGACAGTATGAAATCTATCCTCCTTTACTATGGATCTTAGGAGTTTCTGGGATAATGTAGCTGTGTTGGTCTGTTCTAGCAAAAAATAGGGAGCCTGTGCCACCTTAAAGACTAAAAGAAATAGTTTGGCATAAACTTTGATAAGACTGATGTAATCCATTCATGTCATGAAGAGAACAGTCCCTGAAAGCTTATCCCAAATAAAACTTGTTAGTCTCTAAGGTACCACAAGACACACGGCTTGGTGCGAATATGGTTACATGTGGATCATCTCTGAGATTTAGGGATTGTTTGCATACTTCTTTGCCCACAGCATTCTTCATCTGAAACAAGTATTGAACTTAAACACAGCCTGCATTGATTTTTTTTCCCTGTCGTGCAAGACCAGGGAGATTCTGTGTTTGAATAAATGGATTTAAAACTAGAGTATAAGGTATTTTGTCATTTTAAGGCAAGTAAAAGGTGAGGTGCCTTGCAACTATATTGTTTATATCTATGGCACCTACTGTTGCATTTTATTCACTGTTGGTTAACAGTTCAAAAATTACGCTTGCTTTTGGTTCTTTTGGTATTTTCTGTTTCTTCTCTTCATTTTTGCTTTTATTTTGTTCTATTTCATTTTAATTTGCTTTACTGTCTTTTTGGAAGTTTGACAGTTTCCACATTTATGTCATGTTTGGCTTTGTTCTTATCAAAGAATTACCCAACTATAGATTTTGTTTTTAATTGCAGATCAATATGGCTATTCTTGTGTTGTTTTTAATGCTTATAGTGCCATCTGTGTACATTACTTCAAAAAAAAAAAAAACCAAACAGGTTTGACATGTCTCTGTCCTAAGGGGCTTGCAAGCTAAAAATAGACATAATGTTTTTATATATACAGTGGGGTCTTGACTTGAGAACTTAATCCGTATTTGAAGGCGGTTCTCAAGTCAAAAAGTCTGTAGGTCAAGTCTCCATTGACCTACAGTGCATTGAAAACCGATTAATCCCGTAACAGGCCGTTTTTGTTCCATTTTGGTTTTTTTCTGGTCTGTAAGTCAATTCTTGGTCTGCAAGTCAAACCTAAATTTTGCGGCCAGAGAAGTCTGTAACTCAAAAAGTCTGTAAGTCAAGCCATCTGTAAGTCAAGGGTCCACTGTAGTGTGAGATTTTGTCCCTTGCTCTGGAAAGCAAGGATATTATGTAAGCATTTATTTGAATGATACCACAGTAAAACTAAATTATAGCCTTTTTCTGGTTTCTCTTCAGATCGCAATAATACCACAGTAAAACTAAATTATAGCCTTTTTGAGTTCTGTGTGTGCAGTTTTACCCTGAAAATTAGACTTTCTGGTAGAATTAATTTTGACTTAATGCTGGTCTCACATATGGAGCGTAGCCTGACTTTCCCATTTCGCATTTATGTCAATTAGGAATTTGGATTTCTCCAAAGGCCATCAGGGGATTACTGGAGACAAGGAAGGGCAACATCGGCGTATACGGCAACAACGCCTGATCTTTGTGGGCAAATGGATTGCTGACAACCAGCCAAGGTATCTATCTGTTCAGTTGCTGGCATCACCCTTCACCCTTTTGTTCATGATCTTTTTTCTTGGGCACTCAATATGGCTGCTGCTTATTTATAATGAAAGGTGTTCAATGTTTAAAGCTCAAATGAAGATGTGTGTTATATCACTGTATTTGACACTGTGTGTGTTAGTGATATTAAGTATTATCATTTTAAAGATGCAGGCAGCTATTCTCTGTGTTCAGCATTTAAAGCAGTGTTAAAAGTTGGCCATGAGTTAGTTTGGCTGTAGTTAAGCTGGATATTTAATTTGATCTTAGCAAGTTGATTCGCATATGTTTCATGTGTATAGAGGAGACAGACCTAAACAAAGCTTTCTTGTCTTGGGAGTGATCACTGCTTGGTCTTGTCTGTGATGTTTGCTTTAAATACTTCTGTCAGAAATCTTTTGTTGTATAATATGGAAACAGTTCGCTGTTGGTATCTAGATTTAAATTGTGACACCAGAAAAACGGACATGTAGTATAAAAAAACCTAGGTAGTATGTGATATGCTGAACAGTCCCCCCCCCCATTAATTAGGTGGAAGAAAGCTTGCAGGTATTTGTGTACCTTAAAGCTTTAATGGAATAATGTAAAAGATAAATTCTGAATATTTCTTTTGAGGTGTCTTCCTTCATGTAGCTTAACTAGTGAGCAAGAAAATAAGGCAATAATTTTGTTATTGTACTTAACCTTTTAAGCTTTGAAAATAAATTTTCAGTAAGATGAAAATGAAACTTTTCTGTACTGAACATGATTATGTCCACTTTTCTAATTCACATTTGCTTGAAATATTGGGATAATTAGAATGGGAAGCAGAGATGGCAATAGTATTATAGATATGAGCGCTATGATAGGATAAGGCTCTTTGCTATTCCCAAAATTGTGCCTGTGTAATTGGGCTTGTAAACAAACCCATAGAAATCATGCACCCTCCCACCACCACCAAATCTTTATTTTCTTGCTGAATTTAAAAGGATCAAGGAAACAAATCAAAGTACTATAAAGAATGACATTTTTCTCATTTAGGGCAAGTGGTCACCTTCTATTTGCTGCAACAGTGAAAACCACTAGAATTTTCAGTAGCTGTGTGAGTGGGTGCATTTGTATGCTAAGATGTCATAGTGTAGCTTTTTTTAGCTATAGTTCAGACTTAAGGTGATGTCTGAAAGTTATTCTCCAGAAACTACAAAATCTCTTCTTCAGGATTATTCAGGGATCTGAACCTCTCCATTGGTGCTGATTGTCTCTATTTTGCTCTCTCTTGTTTTTGCATCACTTTCAAATTGATTCTTATGTTTGCTCTGAGTTTAATATCTGACTCCCACCCTTTCCCTTTTGTGTTGGGTTTTGAAGCCTGAGGGCAGGGGTTACCTTGTTGTTTTTTATTGATCTGAAAACTGTTCTGAAAGTCTTTCAGACTGAAGAGTGGAGTATAGATCTTTAATAAATAAATTTTTGTGTGATTTTTCTTATCCCTGAAAATTTGATGAGGTTAATGCTTTTTTGTTTTTCTCTTAAAGATTGATCCAGTGTGAAAATGAAGTTGGGAAACTTCTGTTTTTGACAGATATTCCAGAATTGCTTCTTGATGAGCATAGTGAAGACAAACAGAATAATGTTTTGCAGGAAGCTTCAGAGCCACAGTTTGTAGATGGAAGCCCAGGACTTAAGTCTGTGCTATCAACAGGTCGAAACCTGAGCAGCAGCTGCGATGCAGGAGATAAGCCAATGGTGACATTCAAAGAGAATATTAAGCCACGAGAGGTGAACAGAGAGCCAAGCCGAAGCTATCTGACTAAGGAAGTGGGTAGGGAAAGAAGAGACTATAGCAAAGGAGTAACAGCCAATAAAAATGATGGGAAGAAGGACAACAACAACAAGAGAAAGAATGAAATCAAGAAGTGTGGCATGGAAAAGATGCAAGAAGCAGGGAAGCAGAATGTTGCAGTGCAGGTATGGCTTTATACAGAGCATTGTCTCTGTCAAATTGTTGACATAGCTGTCTGAATTCATCATAGTCCTGCCACACTCCGAAACCTTTAGGTATTTGTGTGATTGGCACAAGTGGTGGCCATTGTTTGAAGGCAAGATGGACTGGTTTGAATATAGTACACTTGGTCAGGATATTGCCTTGATCTCAAACAGCCATGACAGGTACCTGCTGATGGGCTTTTTTCCATTTTCCACCTTGCCCTGCCTTTCTGATAAAAAGAGAATTGCTACTTAACCTGACAACACATCTCATTTTTCTTGATAGACCAATGAAATAGTGCACAACACTATTGTTGTGCCTTCGATAGGCACTGAATATGAGATGTGGTAAGAACTGGAATAAGCCATGCTGATCAATAGACTTCTGTTTGATATATGTGGCCCTTCATTAAGAGCGTAGGTTGTGAATCGACCTGTATATAACTATTTTTTCTTTAGAAGCCTTTGTCTTCCCTTATTGTTGGATGCTGATAATACCTTTTTTCTTTGAGATTTCCTTAAAATGATAATTTTCAGAAATTTAGTATCATGGTTCCCTTGCTGCTTTGTTAATGATGAAATATTTGTGCCTTATAGCCTATTAGTAACCCCAGTACTATTGTCCAAACAGCGCTCACAAATTAAAGGGACCTATTATGTTTTTAAAAATATAATTTAATTAAAACATATATATAAGTCAAAAGAACAAAAAGGGGGAGATGGTCAAAAGAAAAAAAGGTGGAATATACAGAACTTGCATAATTCTTTCAGTTTAAAAAAAGAAAGAAAATAAAATGGTCTGGATGTTGATACTTGTTCAAATGAAATATGGGCTTATTTTCAGGGAAACGGTACATTGTGGCAAATACTTGCCAATTTATTGTAATCAACAACTGTTCTAAACATTTCTCATAGAAGTGAAGAATATTGTACTCTCAGTGCCACTATCTCGGCTCAATACAGAGTTCTTAATATTCTGGAGAGTGAAAATGTTCTGCTGTGTCAATGTATACTTGAATGCAGACAGATCCCACCTGATAGATTTTGTGGGGCCAGTTGCTCTTGCACGTTTTTGCAGTTCTCTGTATTTGTTTAGCCCTGTATTTTCTGAGGAGCCACAGCATCTCTATGCAATGCTGATTTATAAAGAGGATATTAAAGCATCTCAGAATGGGTAATTGTACCTTCTTTGACCCTAGTTTCCACGTCAAGACATTATTCAATTTAATGCTTACTTGTTCTCAATCTGTAGGTTTAGGAGGAACATATTCATTGCTTAGAAAGCAGCTAGGACAGTTTTTGGCTGCCTAGGGATTTTCTTCCTTGTTACATAATATTTTAAAAAGAGCAGATGGGTAAATATCTCCCTCTTTTTTGTGTGTGTCTATAAAGAACAGCACAGCTCAAAAGGGTCTATGACACAGGCCAGCATTTGAAGGAAGAAGCACAAAAGTACTGTAGTAAAAGAAATCCATGAAAAAAGCTATACTGTACCTATATCCTCAAAGGAAAGATTATTCAAAAGTACAGTACATGACCTATAGGACAAGCTGATGTAAGCTTAGCATTCAACTTCTGCCAGAGTATTTTCTTGTAATCTCCAGCTAAGAATCCTGGTGATTTCTGCTGTAATCTTCAAATTCTCCTATTCAGCCACTTGATTCTGCTTTTTAGCTAAGTGGCTTATGGAAAATATAGTATTAAAGGCTTTCTTCTATTTCAGTACTAAGGAAATCTATTGTATTTGAAGTGCTTGAGAAATAGATCTCATATTAATGCAGGACAGGACAATAATCTGTTTTCAAGAAACACACATTAAACAGCAGCATTACAAATATCTGATTTACCCAAAGATTGGGAAACTCTACTGCTCAGCCGCACAACAAAAGAAAAGAGGAGTAGCTTTATATGTGAAAGAAAAGTTAAACTCTAAACATGTCTGTTCTGATGAAGAAGGGAGAATCTTAATGGTAGAAATAACAATAAATAAAAAAGGTCTTGATGATAGCAATATATGCACCTAATAGTAAACAAGAAAAATTCTATCGTAAGCTATATAAAACAATATTGGAAAAAGAATACCAAAATATTTGCATATTAGGTGATTTTAATGCAACTGTAGATGAGAGACTTGATTACAAAAATGGTAAAAAAGGCAGAAGGAGAAGACTGCCAAATGTTTCTTTCAGATGGCAGAAGAACTAGGATTACAAGATATATGGAGAGAAACAAATACCAAAAGCTCTCAATTTACCTTCTATTCAAATAGACATAAATCCTGGTCAAGAATAGATATGATCTGGCTATCCTCAGAATTAAAAACTGAAATACAGAAAGTAGAAATAGAAACCAATATTTGGGCAGACCATAACCCAATGAAAATGCGGTGGAAAGGAGAGAGAAAAGAAAAGACAAGATGGACTTTAAACCAGGGAATATGGAAGGATAAAGAATTTGTGGAAAGAACTAAAAAAGAAATGGAACTCTTCTTCAAAGAAAATAAAAAAGAGGAAACATCCCTGCAAACAATTTGGGACACAGCTAAAGCATACTTCAGAGGATTGGCCATATCATATATAGCCAAGATGATGAGACACTAATTAAAGCCCAAATCATATGACCCCATGTCTATAGGTATTGTATGAAGTGAGTAAGAAGGATTTTGCTCACCCACCAGACACACTCCTGTGGTCTCCAGGCATGCTGGGCTTTCTCATATCTTTCGTACAGTATTGAAATATGAACTTCCAGCATGTGTAGGCATATGGCCTACCTCAAGTTAAGACTAGTATGCCTGGCAAGTACAGTGGTGCCTCACTTAACGAGTGCACCGTTTAACGACGAATCCGCATAGCGATCTGTTTTTTCAGATTGCTAATGCGATCGCATTGCGATGTTTTCAGTGGCAAAACATCACATTGCGATGATCGGTAAATGTTTCGCTTACCGATCTTTGCATAGCGATGTTTTTTAAACAGCTGATCAGCTGTTCCAAAATGGCCGCCGGACGCCCAAAATGGCCGCTGCAACCATTTTTGCGCCCTGCCCTCACTTACCGAGGGCGCGAAAATGGCGGCGCTATGGAGGAACTTCGCTGAACAGTGAGTTTGGGGCCCCATAGGAACGCATTAAACAAAGTTTTTTGTTTTTTGATCCGTTTAGCGATGTTTTTGCATAGCGACATTAATCCGGAACGGATTAACGTCGCTATGTGTGACTAGTATGCCTGGCAAATAAATATAATTCTTCCACTGACATTTGCTTCTGTCCATGCAGAGTTGATTAAATGAGGCCTAACTGGGACTAAGGTAAAATCTTGCTTCTCTTTCTTTACAAAACATGAAAGGAAGGAAGATTTTAAAATTCAGATAAATGTTGAAAAAAGGTTTGAAAAACGTCCTACCTGCAAGTTCCTATATATGTCATACACATTATGCACAAGTGCACTTTTTACAGATGTTCAGGGGCGGTATGCAAGTTGATTGCTAACATTGCTAGTAATGCCGCTTAGAATTTTTCTTCATTGGGCAGAAATTTAGACACTACTTCTGAAATAAAATATGCATTTTAGAAGGACTACTATTAGACTTTGCTAGCAATGAGTAACTTTATATGTTGTATACAAGTCAACTTGAGCTGAACCAGTGATGTGGAAATGTTGCCACTGTCTTGTAAAGCTGAATTTATTCTTATATTTTTCACACAAATGAGCAGAGATCTACATTTTTCTTATCTGGTGAACTTCAGACTACTTTCCAACTTTACCTGTCTAGAGGGGAGTGAGGATCAGCCTTGCAGTTCCACACACTTCAGAGCCATCAGCCAAGTTGCACTACCCCTTTCACTCTCCCATATCCCAACCTTGAAAGTAAGCTTATGGTTTGTTTTTGAGGGGGGGCTCCCATACTTTGGAAATGCACAGCCAGAGCAAGCCTCAGCTGGCCTCTCCATTGTAGAGGGAATGGCTGGGGCTAAGCGAGATGCCAAGCATGATTCCATATTCTGTTTCTCTGTTGGAGAGGAAGGTCAGAGAGCTATACAGTATTTGCTTCTGTACCAGCCAGACCTCTGGAAAAGAATGAGATGCTGTTTGCAAGCAAATTTACCATTTGAAGAAGTGATGGAGAATTAAACCATGTTTTTAAAAAAAAAACCCTCATATTTTCTAAAATTGTTTGTCTTCCTAGGTGAAATCTCAGACAGAGCTGAGGAAGACTCCTGTATCTGAAGCCAGGAAAACACCAGTAACTCAGTCTCCAAACCAGGCCAGCAACTCCCAGTTCATCCCCATCCATCACCCAGGAGCTTTTCCTCCACTTCCCAGCCGGCCAGGTAAATATGATGGGATCTTCACTGACCTACAATTACATTTGGTTTTATTAAAAATAACGATCAGTTGGCCGTTGCCTTCCTACTCTTCTGAATAGGAATGAAAATAAAGGGTGGGGTCAGCAAGTAGCCAAAGGCATGGTCAAGATCTGTTATAGGAGAGAAAGCAGGATATCATGTCCAGAAAAGCTTCTTAAGAGCTATGGGAATTGGTTTCCTCTGCTAATGTAGGCCCTTTATTTTCCTTTTCAGGCTTCCCACCTCCCACCTATGTTATTCCTCCTCCTGTGGCTTTCTCAATGAGCTCAGGATACACTTTCCCAGGTGGTGTTTCCGTCCCAGGAACCTTTCTTCAGCCTGCAGCTCACTCACCTGCAGGAAATCAGGTGCAAGCTGGGAAGCCCTCCCACATTCCGTACAGCCAGCAGCGGCCCTCTGGACCAGGCCCAATGAACCAGGGACTTCAGCAGGCGCCATCCCCTTCTCAGCAGTCCCTTGCATCCTTACCAGCTCAGGCAACAGCACAGTCTGCAAGCCAATTACAGGTTCAGGCCCTGGCGCAGCAGCAGCAGCAGCAGCAGCAACAGTGTTACAGGTTCAGGCTCTGGCGCAGCAGCAGCAGCAGCAGCAACAGTCTCCTACAAAAGCTGTGCAGGGCTTAGGGAAGAGCCCTCCACACCACTCTGGTTTCCAGCAGGTGAGCTTTTAGCAAGGTTGCAATGTCACGTGTTGGGAATATGCTGGGACACAAAATATGGGCTAAACGTCTATAGTTGTAACTTTAATCTGCTCAGATCACTCAGATTGGAGTATTTGTGTTTCTGCAGCCTTCATGGGGAAAGGTGACAAACAAGACAGGAGCAGGCTGACAAATGACAACAGTTGAGAATGTCATTTTGGTGGAGAAACAAGAAAATAGTACAGGACCCTGTTTTTTTAATGGATAATAAGTATGTTTCCTTCCTGCGCAGAAATGCCAAAGACAACAGCAATTTTTAAGTTGTAGGTTTATTGAAGCCTTTAGGAAAGCTCCTTTTAGATCTAGGATTAACTTTAAATATTTTGAATACTAGGTTTCCTGTTCCTCTTTAATAATGCTACCTTGCCTTCCAGGGTGATTGTTAATACTTGAGCTAGGCAACATATGGGAGACACTTGGAATACTTGAAAGGGTTATATAAATATTACCCTTTTATTACTTTATCCAAGAAAGTTCTGATAGGTAGAGTTTTTAAAATTCTGTGTCATAGTAAATGTATTTGAAATGGTTTTCTAACTGTGGCTGGAAGCTAACCTATCTCTGGGTAAATTCTTTCTCCTAAAACATCTTTCATTTTTCCTCTGATTATGGAATCTAGGAACCTTGGTCTCAGAATAAATAAAAGCCATCTTATCTGGTGAGGTGATGGAGTGTTATTCCCAATTGCCTAAGGAATCTTCTTATCAAATCAGGATGTTTCAACAGTTAGTTGGCTGTAAAATAGAAAATTAAAATTGCAGGCTATTTTGGGTGGAAAGGATTATGCAGTTGGTCAGGTTAGATTCTTGATGGCTGGAAGCCTAAGCCAGCTACTTCCATAGAGGGACTTTCATTTGTTAACGTTGAGTGCCATTCTGCCTGTTCTTAGTTTTCACAGGCAGATTCCTCCAAGCAGCTGTGGAACCCTCCTCAGATTCAAGGCCCATTGGGGAAGATCATGCCTGTGAAGCAGCCCTACTATCTTCAGGGCCAGGATCCCCTTAAACTGTTTGAACAGTCATTGCAGCCCCCCCTCCTGCAACAGCAGCAGCCTCTGGAGAAGAAAATGAAGCCTTTCCCCATGGAGCCATATAACCAGAATCCCTCAGAGGTCAAGGTGCCAGAATTCTACTGGGACTCCTATGGTATTGCTGATAACCGCATGGTGATGGCACAGCAGCAAACTAACATGGATCGTCGAGGGAAACGTCAGCAAGGAGTCTTCCGCCCAGAGCAGGATCCAGTGCCTAGGATGGGTTTTGAGGTAAATGTGCTACTGATCTCTTAGGTTTCAGGCGATGTATTGAAAGAGCAGAGTTCTCTCTGTGCCCGAAACTCATGTAGAATGGAACAGTTTGCGCTCTCTTAGCCCCTAGATAAGAGCAGATGGGAATTGTCTCCCTGCCCCATCCCCCCATGTTCTGTGACATGAGGAGCATTAATGTGTAGCACTGTGTTGCTGGCTCATTGGTGTTACCGGCTAGTCATTCTTACAAACAGTTTAATGTCCTGTTGTAGTAGATGGGTATGCCAGAGACAAAGATCCCATTGCTTTGAAATAGCAACCTTGGCAGACTTATTCAGATAATGTTGTTTATATATAAGGGCTGGACCAGAATAGGATACACAACTTTACAGCCTTGTTTCTATGCCATGGAACTAAAGGCTTCCTGCTGCAGAAGATTTGGAATGGCTGCAAACAGGTCACAGTCTTTGTCCATATCACAGTTAGAAGGACTAAGGAAGACAAGATGTCGATGGGAAGTCCCTTGTGTTGCTTAAGTAGTGGATGTTTACTGAGCTGATGATGGCCATCACACCCTTTCTCTCCCAATATATACTGAACTCCCAGCATGGCTTTTTCTCCCAACCATCATCAACAAAGAAAAGTTATGAATATTATGCTTCCATTATGAAGTATTTTTTAAAAGTAGCGTGCCATCTTGAACATACTGTCTTTCTGCAGTTTAATATAGACTATATCCATCAGAAGGATTTAAGTCTTGCTTCTACTTTTCCATGTCCTCAAATCTGTTTTTCCAAAGTTGAAATGGAGCCTTTGGCATATCATCCTAGTGAGATGGGATGTGAAGTACAATTTGCAAAATTAACTTTGAGCATGGACTCCTTTCAGAATTTTACAAATCAACCTAACATAGGAATTCTCAGACTTTATCACAGTAAGCCTCCATATATTCAGGCTTAAATTTCAGAACACTCCCTGAGTGTAAATAAAGCAAATACAGGTTGGCAGTTCTGGTTCTTTATCCAGTCTGGGAAGAAGGAGGTTAAAAGACAAACACCTACATAAGTGTGAAGTAAGGAGTCAGGGCAGTAACTACTGAGATAACTAAGGAAAGATCTGTTGGTACTGCTCTTTGAAAGGGAGTTTTCGGGCCTTGTTTTGAAAAAGTTGAGGTGGGGGAAACACATTTTTCTTCAGTGTGGTCTCTGTGAATAACACATTTGGGTTAAATCAGCGCCTGCGCTGGAACTTTGGAACCTTCTAGAGCTTTTCTGAAAAAGATACAAAGTTTAGGTTGCCCCTAGCACACATGCTCCATTCCCTCCCTGCCTCCAGTTCCTTTTTTCTGCCATTGTGCTAGGAACGTTTTGGACAGAGTTCTCTATTTTCATTTTTTGACTTGATTTTGGACTGTATTTTTGACTATTCTTACTTATTATTATCATTATTTATTTAATTTATATCCCGCCTATCTAGTCGTGGTGGACTACTCTAGGCGGCCAACTACTTCGATTGCCCCTTAACCTTGGACTGCTTCGACTACCCTCTTGCTTGACGGACTTTGGCTCTTGTTTGACCGTTTTTTTCCCACGCTTTGTGGATTGCCTGATTGCTGGGCTGATTGCCTCAGCGGGAAGCGCCATTATCACCTCAGCAGGAGGCTCCACTATCCACTTATCTCCTGATTACCGTGAGAACTCAGGCTCCTATAGCCTTCTGTGTGCTGTTTTATGTCCTCCTCAGGCCCTTTTAGTAAATGTAAGGCGTGCTCCAGGAAGATACCCTTTTATGATAAGCATAGTCTTTGTTTATTTTGCCTCGGAGACACGCACAATATGTCCACTTGCCACCATTGTAAAGAATTTACCAAGGCTGCTTTGAAAGCGCGCCAGCAGAGACTTAAGCTCTTTGGGAAAAGACTCTATTTACAACCCAACCCTCAGAAATGGAGACTTCCTCCAATCCTTCAGGGACCCCTTGTTCTGAGACAACTGTGTCTCTCCCCTCTACATCTACTTCCAAGTCATCTAAGCCCTCTAAGAAAACCACTTTAGGTCCCTCCAAGAAGGCTCCTTCTGCATCTAAGGTGCCTGGTCCCAAGGACGTTGCAAAGGCTAAGAAACAGGTGGGTCAGCCTAAGAAGTCCAAGGCTAAAGAGATCAACTCTCTTCCACCTGTTACACCCTCTCTGCCTTCACCGATTTTGGAGGATTCGTCAAGGGACCATGAATCCCTATCTGACGCGGCTCCATCTTTGCCTCTCTCCCAGCAACCTGAGGCACCGCTTGAGCCTGGGTATTCACCCAGTCCGGATAAAGTTGAGGACGCTGTGTTATCCAGCCCTCATTCTGCCCATCTTGGCCCTGCATCTGCCGGCTGGGCGACTGAAACTCCGCATTCCCCCTCTTGCTCCCCGAGGAGAGATCTCCCTCCTCGCAAAAAGGGGTCGAAAAGGCGGCATTCTTCTTCCGATCGACGTCGTGACTCTGACGTGGAGACTTCCCGACGTCGGAAGAGACACAGGCATGAACGATCTGGGCGCAGTCGTTCAGGACGGAGGAGGACAAAACATCGACGTCGACATTATGATACTGATTCGACGTTGTCTTCCTCCTCTTCTAGTTACCGCAGGCACAGAAGGAGACGCTATTCTCCCTCTTCGACCTCGAGTTCTTCGCCTTCTCCACGTCGACATCGACAAGCTCATAATACCCTCCCTTCTGTGGATATGAAGGCTTCTAAAAAGGCTGCTTCTACCTCGACGTCGAGGGCTAAAAGTGCCCATCAGAATGCTCAGGTATCCTTAGCTGAGGCTGCTGTGCATAGAGTTCCATCTGAGGAAGATGACTAGCTTTGTGAGGTGTCTTCCAATCAAGATGAGGAGGTTTTCTCTCCTTTGCAAGCCCAGTCACCAGTGGAGGTGGACTCGGACTCAGATACAGGGAATCCCCATCCATCTTCTCCCTCTGAGGATTTCTCCTCTTATTCACAGATGGTGACCAGAATGGCTAATGTTTTGAAAATGCAATCACAACTTCCATCTCCTCCAACAGATGATCCCATTTTTTGGGACATCGATCGAGAGTCCTCTCAACCACTGAGCCTCAACTACATTTCCCAGCTGTTTACTCTGATTATGGACACTTGTTCTCAACCAGCCACCCCTCTTTCTGTCTCTAGGAGGACTGAGAATATGTATAGGATTCATGGTGATGAAGTCAATTTCTTGTCTAAGCATCCTGCTCCCAACTCTGTCATTGTCCATGCAAATGCGTCTAAGGCTTCAGGGAGACCACATGTTGCTCCCACCAACAAAGAAGGCAGGAAGATGGATGTGTTGGGTAGGAAAATCTACAACTTCCAGTCCTACCCACTAAAGATATGCAATTACCAGGCAGCAATGGGAGCATATCAGAAGCATCTCTGGAATAAAGTACTGCCAGCACTTCAAGCTGCTCCTGAAGATATCAGGCAAGAGTGTTTAAATGCTCGTGCTGAAGCTATGACATTGTCCAAGCACCAGCGATTGGCAGCAAGACATGCCACAGATGTTTCGGCTAAGACATTGAACTCTGCCATAACCCTTTGACGCCACGCCTGGCTCAGGGCATCTGGTATTATTGAGGACGTGAAAAAGCAAATTGAAGAACAGGCTTTTGATACGAAAGGTTTATTTAACGAAAAGACTGATGAATCACTCAAGTCCATACATGAAAGCAAGAAAACTGCTAAATCATACACCATTCACCAACAGCCTCGTTTCCAGAAACAACAGTGGCAGAGGCAATATCCCCAACAGCAATATCAGCAACAGCCTTCTCAGGGTTACAGGTCTTACAGGAGTTCTCAAGGTAGATCTTCTCAACAATCTTCTGCCACTCCGCCCTACAAACAGCAAACATCACACAAACGTCAGTCTTATCGCCCACCTACCAAAAAATCCAAGCAGTACCTTTGACTTCATCAACCCTCTGCTTCAGGATCATCACACACGCCTTGCCCCATTTTGCCACAGTTGGCAAGGATATCAAAAGACAATTGGGTTCTGAACATCATCAGATTCGGCTACCGGCTAGAGTTGCAAGAACTTCCGCCTCTAGGGTATCTGAGAGTGACAACATCCAATCTAACCCTAGAAGAGGAGGTTCTCACTCTACTCCATCGTCCACCTGTTGAGAAAGGGAGATTGGTTCGTAGTCATAGACCTGAAGGACGCATACTTCCATATCACCATACACCATCATCACAGGAAGCATCTGTGGTTCATAATCAACAACAAGGTTTACCAGTATGCGGCCTTACCATTCGGCTTAGCAACGGCTCCATGCACGTTTACAAAGTGCATGGCTCCAGTGGCTGCATTTCTACGTCTACAGGGAGTAAAAGTATTCCCGTACATCGACAATTGGCTCGTAGTGTCACCTTCCAGACGGAAAGCTATTCAGGACACCAAGTTCATCCTCCACACTCTACAGAGTCTAGGCCTCACCATAAATTGCAAGAAATCTGCCCTAAAGCCTTCTCGAGTTATGATTTACATAGGAGCAACACTGGACTCCAGAAAGGCAAGGCTCTTCCTTCCTCCAGAGCGCATTCACAAGCTACAGATGGCTCTTCAAAAGTTTCAACCACACTCACTAGTGTCAGCACATCACGCACAACATCTGCTGGGCCTCATGGCCTCAACTGAAGCATCCCTACCATACGCCAGGCTAAAGATGCACTCGCTACAGGCGTGGTTTCTCCATCATTTCGACCCAATGTTGGAGGATCCCAGGAAGAAGATCCTAGTCACCCCAGAGCTGGCGAAACAACAATGATGGTGGAGTTTCCTTCCTCACCTGCTAGTGGGCCGCCCATTTCGGCCCCTACAACTCTCTGCACAAGTAACAACAGATGCGAGCCCCACAGGCTGGGGAGCTCATTGCAATGGTCATACCATACATGCCCTCCTGTCACTTCGTCAAAGAGGACTCCACATCAACCATCTGGAGATGCTAGCAGTAATCAAATCGTTCAGGGCTTTCCTGCCGCTGATACAGGGTCGTGGTGTACAAGTTGTAACAGACAATATCACGACCTTGTACTACATCAACAAACAAGGTGGAACAAGATCCTTATTCCTTCTCTACCTTGCGGTACACCTGTGGGAGTGGTGTTGCCACCAGCACATTTACCCAGTGGCAATTCATATATCAACATCAGACAACCAACTGGCAGACGAGCTGAGTCGCCGGAAGGGACAATCCCACGAGTGGGAACTGGACGGCGATGTGTTACAGATGCTGTGCTCCAGATGGGGTCGCCCGGCCATCGACTTGTTCGCTTCTCACAGGAACAAGAAGTTTGAGAGGTATGCATCTCAAGCGGGCAGGGACCATGGTTCCCTGGGAGATGCCTTCATGATACCATGGCATTAGCACCTTCTTTACCTGTTCCAGTTCCTCTGATTGAGAGATCTCTAGTCAGGATCAGACAACAGAGGTCGTCAGCAGTCCTCATAGCACCCTTCTGGCCGCGTCAACCATGGTTTTCTACTCTGGAGGAGTTAGCCACCAAGATATTCAGACTTCTACCAGTGCTACATCTACTGACTCAGGATTCGGGGAGTGTTCTACATCCAGATCTCTACTCCCTCCACCTAGCAGCGTGGAAGATATGCCTGAAATCAAAGAGGTGTTAGTCAAGTCTAAAAAACCATCTACTATTCTCTTGTACAATTACAAGTGGAACAATTGTCTTTGTTTTGCCACTGCCAGAAACCTCCAGACTTCTCCAGTTTCCCTGCAGACTTTACTCCTTTATCTCAAACATCTTTTTGATCTCGGACTTACCTTCTCAACTCTCAAGGTGTACATCTCTGCAATAGTTTCTTTCCAGCCCAGAGACTCAGAATCTTCACGTTTCTTCTCTCGCCCCACATTAAAAGCATTTTTAAAAGGACTAATCAACATTTGCCCTCCTACACGGTCTCCAGTACCTCAATGGTCCCTTACACTGGTTCTGCAATCAGTCATGAAGCATCCCTTTGAGCCTATGGCTTCGTGTGATGTTAAATTTCTTTCTCTAAAGACTCTGTTTCTAGTTGCAGTTACGTCTGCTAGGAGAACAAGTTTCGTTACCTACCTTGTTTTATCCTTCGTCTGACATCAAGAAGATGCTCCATTCCCTAGATGTTAGAAGGGCGTTAGCATACTGTATTAAGTTTCCAGGACAAAGGACTTTTGGAAATCTGAAAGACTCTTCCTGTGCTTCTTTGGACCACACAAGGGTTGTGCAGCGTCATCTTCTACCTTGTCACAGTGGCTTGTCTCCACTATTACTCTTGCC